GATACTGTGTTACCATTATGAAATTCCGAATTTTCCAATGAAAAATCTGAAATTCATACAAAAAGTTCGATGCTACAAGCGAAAATAAAAAAATAGCATGTTGCAATTTACTTTTGAAATGTACCTCACATTAGTTCAAATGAAAGCCGTCATGTAATCATGCGAACAGCGCTCAAATCGTTTTGTAGAATTTTCATACAAAATGACAGTGAGGCACTTTTGCAACATGCTAATTGAATTGAGAGAGAAAAAAATTGCGATATTGATAGCCAACATAAATCATTAAACGGGAGATGTTTTTTTTTTCTTACCGAGGCATTTAATTAAAACTCATGTTCGATAGTAAATTTTATTTGAAATCGAATTTGTTAGCTTGATTGAAATAAATAAACCAGAGAGGCAAACATGTGATTTGTTTTTTCCTCCGGAATTCTGTGTTGGCTTTAGTTTGAGCACACGATATGGCATTTTAGATAGAGAGTTTTTTTATGACCGCATAAAAATCTTCTATGACGACATGCGAAGTGTCTACGTTCGCAATATCACACAATGCGAAAACAATTTCAATGACAATAACGTCGAAAAAGATGAGTCAATTGAAGTTGCGTGAATACTTATATTTTTTCTGCTAAAAACCTGACCCGACCAAAAAAAAACAATTCATAATAGCACAAAGCAAACACACTTGAGTGTGTATTAACTGGAAATTCAGTAGTACCTCAACCTTGTGCGAATAAAACAAATACGGTGCGCATTGTATGTATGCAACAATATTGTGAGTGAAAACAAAAAAAAAAGAAGAATTTTGAGCGTCGAAAGCAGCAGCAGAAGCAAAAAAGAGCAACGAATGAGTTCGTCTAACTTTGGGCATTTTCAGCATCGATAAACATAACAAAAGGCCAGATAATTAAAACAGAACAAAGAAATTTCGATTTTAAGAGTGGGATTGGGAGGTAGAGAAAAAAAAGCGTTCTCTCCATCGTACCACATCACAGTTTGTTTCGTTGCTGTTGTTTAGACGATGCATGCCGACATGAAATAATAACTTAATTAAAAGGTGTAATGTGAAAAACATTTTTCGCTCTTTTTCTCTTTCATTTCACGTGAAAAATATATCCACTTTTCTGCGTATAATGACCGATATTCTAACGACTGTACAATATTTTGCGATGTCTCTCATTCTCTTTCTCACTTACTCTCTCTCTCTCACTCTCTGAGTTTTTTCATGCCTTGGTAATTTTATATGTAACCTGAACCTGAGTGAGTTCATTGTTATTGGGACTTGAAAACACTTTTTTTTGTTCGTCCATCGAGTTGAAACCGAAGGAGACGGTTCTCGTTATGTTTTCCAGGTGTAAATTGTGTGCTTCATTCATATCATACCGCTGTATGTATATGTATGTGTGTGAATGGCTTTTTGTGTGTCTCAAAAACTGTTTAGCCGTTTTCTTTGCGCTCCAGCTGTCGTTGTGTGCCGTTTCTATTTGTTCAGTTGCCTGTTTTATTTCATGCTATGTTGTCATACAATAATTTGCAAGCCACGGCAATTGCGTTGTTGTTGGAAAATGGTAAACACATTTCTTTCCAAAAAAAAAAACAACACCACGATATCACATTTAATTAACTGTGTGCATTTTACATCGTTGGTCTATTCAATTCTCTGTCTCCTTGCAAAGTGGCGTTGTTTTTCTCTTCTGTTCTGCTTAATGTGCGCCTCCCCAGTTCAGGAGTTATGATTTATTGTCGCACAAATGGAACGCAACACAATGCCACACAAAAAAAGGCGCACAAGAGACGTTCCAGTTTTTTTTTCTTCTCTTTCTTCAGATGAAGAGCATTGACACGGCTAAAAATGATGATTATGCCAGAATGTCTATCACTGTTGCGTCGGTGTATGTCCATAGAAAATAGCAACAGTTCGCTCTGTACATTAACGATAGCATGCAAGAAATGATGAATGTTTAAAGAAAATTCAATAAATCCTGTCGCGAAACAAACCAGAGAATGAGAGAGAGGTAGAAAAACCAGCTAGTGGCGCTTATGTGCGTATTTACGTTCCAAATTTGCAGGCCATTGGGTTTCCGCTCTCTTTGCAAACTCAATTTTTCGTATAGTTTGAAACTTGACGGCCACTATAAATGAACTGTCTGTTTTTATTATTCTAATTAGTCAGCTCTCACTTAGGATAGAGTGAGAGAAAATGAAAAACGCCAATAATAACAACAACAACAACAAAAAACAACAACCACAAACATTAAATCATGAACCGAATGTGATTTCATTAATCTCTAACGAGAGAGACGAAGAGTGCGCTGTGTGAATCGTGTTCGTTACGGTGCGCATCGATTCTATCTCACATTTTGCAGGCGGCACCGTTAGGCAAAAATATTGTTTACCAACCGTTTTTATGTGCGAATGAAAAATTTATTCTCGTCGTGTGCAGAAATACAAATTGGCAGCGATGGCAACGGCGACTGTGGCACGAGAAAATGAACAACCGCGATCGTTTTATACAAACTTTATTGTTAATTTAAATCGTTCTTTGCCTTGTTTATAACGTATGTACAATTTTCTTTTTATAAACACATTTATCCATTGGAATTTTCACAGCGTGTGAAGAACGCTCCAATTTTTTTTCCCTCTCGTTGCAATTCTATGGCAAGCAATAAATTTTACACTAAACAACACTTGGCTTAAATCAATTTAGTTCTCTTTTGCGCATTCTCACTCTTCCCATCGCTACAATATCAAAGCTGTGTAAGAAAGAACATTGTTCATTTCCTGTGGTCGCTGCCATTTTGGACTGAATCCATTTGTGTAAAAGGCCAATCTCTCATTAAAACTCTTGAAAATTGGCATTTATTTGTCCCGCTGGAATTTCTGCCGCTGAGCACAGCAACAACATTTTTCCGTCCCGATCGTCAACAGACCAAATACACTTTGCACGTTGGTGGTGTTCATTAGTGTCAAATTTATGCGCCTCTCAAAAGAGAGAGTGAAAAAAAATTATGCCACTCTGTTTTAAACTCGACAAACACGCGCCGTCATAAAAATGTTGGATGAAAAACGGAAATGGTAGTTGAAAAAAATGCCAACTACATCGAATGAATTCGAATGTTTCGCGAGCGTTAGCATTTTGAATTGGAAAAGAGGGAGCGATGGAGAGGGTTCAAAGGTTAAGTTAAGATAGCATGAATCGATTGGGCTAAATTGAGCAGAAGATCTGTTCCAAAAAAATGCACATTTATACTCCATCGAAAGCGGGTCGAGTATTTACTGGCTGATTTTGGAATTAAATAAAAACTAAACTGGGTCAAATCGATTCATGTGCCGAGCGATGGAAGGAAAAAAAACACGATTCATTTAAGATGTTGAACATGAAATGCCATTCTGAAAATGAAAATTTCGAATTTCCATATGTTGCCCATGACTATTGAGGACATTTTCATTAGCAAATGTGATGATCCTTGAAAATGCAGAAAATTATCTCTCTGTAATCTCGCTGAATTTGCTATCGGTTGCGGTCGTCGTTTGCTAAGGTTAAAGCGCAAAATTTCACGCGAAAAACCGTGATCAGGTGGACAAATCCGTTTTCGTAATTCAAACGCGAGCGCACGCCCTCAAACAACCTCTCTGTCGCTCTAATTTGTGAATATGAAAGTGTTAAATTTTCAATTGGGTCACATATGTGTGCTTAGACACACATTCTCTCTTGCGCTCGCTCGTTCTCTTTCGCTTCTCACTTGTAGCAAATAGCAAGAGTTCAAGTCACTGTGTAAATATGATAAATGCTCCATCCGGATACACCGAGCATGTGTTCCCCATTAATACAAGTATTTGATGTTATTGTTACTGTTATTGTGTCATTATAAGAGCACCACATTAGCGGATTGTGTAGCACATCTCTTGCATAAACAAACGAGCATCGTTCACGTATGCACCATTTGCCGCAAATAAAAGTATATTTCGTGCATTTTCATTGCAAGAATACATTCTACCCGCCCGCTGAATGCCGTGACTAAAAGTCACACAGGCGCTTATTTTCACACCTTCACAAATTCTCTTACCTCATTCGGCCACACGAAAAGAGCGAGAAACTGTTTCTCTTTCTCTCTCTTTCTACCATTATTATTACGCCTCCGGCACTGATGGTGGTAGCTCTTGTATTTTAATTACATCATTTTCATAATCAAATTGTGCGTTTTTTGTTGCCATCCAACAAATTGAATCATCGCCATTTTTATGCACCCTATAAAAGGCTCAATGGTTTTTCCCTGTTGCAACGATGCGACCAAAAAAAAAAACACGAATGGCGCTCGAGGAGATTTATTGTAAATAACAATTAACGCGAAACGTCAAAATGGGAGATGAGATCATTGCAATGTACGTTGAATCAGACAGACTTTTTTTGTATATGGCTGCATCAATGTCACAGATGCAAGGCCAGTTCACAGTAATATGGTGACGCAATCATGGAAAACCAAGAACAAACAACGAATAAAAAAAAAATACAATAAATTAAAAAAGTGAAACATTTATGTGGCAAATGTCACGCATGAATATTGGTTTTTGTGCTTAATTTGGAAATCCTTGCCAAAATGCGTGCCCGTCCATTTGCGAATTCATACTGTGTTGGTGAAAATATATATATGATTGTGTGAAACGCAATGAGAAATGAGAGAGCTCATTTCATGGTAAAATGGATCGTGTTTCGAGACACCTCATCACATCAATGAACAATTTTGCTATTAATAGAAATATTCTACGCTTTTGTTCGACAGCGCCGCCATCGCAGTGCATATCTGCATCTGACGCACTGAGAGAGACCGACAACAAAACAATCAAATATCATATTCAGCTGTTGAAATATCCTAGTGTCATGCCCTTCCTATTGTTTATCGTCAACTGAAGAATTTTTTCTCTTTTCACCGTGAAGAGTATTCTGAAAAGCAAATAATTATTTTATCTTTCTCTTCTATTTTGCGATATGACTGTGGCAGAAACAGGAAAAATGACCAGCAGAGCGACCAGCCGACACGAAGAATATCATTCATCGTCGTCGAATGTTGTACGAACACTTCATCCGAGTCGGCCCATTTCACCGCCGCAAAAGTATGTCGAATACAACAACAACAATCTAGGTAAGTGTAGCGAACTTTGGAACATTCAAACGACTAGATACATCGACACGAATCACATCGTTATCCGAACAATGTGATGAAAATGATTGCATTTGCAAGTGAAGAGGTTTCAAAGATTCTCATTTATTGAAAATATGTTCGTCGGGTTGAAAATTACAATCTTTCACATTTCATTTTGATAATGGTGCTCTTGAAACACATACTTATATTTCCACTGAACTAATGCGACATGCTCGAGTCTTCTCATCGGTTTTTCCATTTGTTGATGGCATTGTAAAAATAAGATACTTGGAAATAGATTACATTTGTCGCTCCTTCCAACGAAAATAATGATGTGGTTTTGCATTACACACTACTGCAAGCAGAATGACGAATAAAAAAAGAGATGAAGCTCAATACATTGGACTGAGCTCTAAACATCGTGAACATTTTGAGCTCACAAAAAAAAAACCAAAATCAGAATTGATAACGAGCAACTCAATGTTGAAAATAGACAGCGAAGAAACCAACACCCGGAGTTAGCCTTTTTAATAAATACAGTGTCTCATTGGTGGCGAATGCAAGCGAAAATCAATAGAAGAACAACCAATTTCTTCTCAATGACAATTTTTCGTTTGGTTTTCGGGTGAAATTCTGCCATTTTTTTTCTCGGTTTTCTCGTAGATTTTGAATCTGTTTCTTTTTGAAGCGGATTTATTTTCTCTCTGATTCAGACAACGAATTGAAATTGAAATTGAACTTGAACATAAACAACAATTTTCAATTGTAAACATGTTGCAATGAAGTTGAATGCTAGGGGAATATCACGCTTCTGAATCTTGTGAGATATTTGAGATATTTGAAATAAACATCAATTTTATGATATATTTTCGAATAGTTCGAATAAAAAAATCAGATTTTTGTGAATTTTGGAGATATTTGAGATTTTTCGCATTAAATCCGAATAAATACATTTAAATATCATTCAAAATCACAAATATCCACCATATTCCGCCGTATTCACAAATATCCACTATATTTCATACGACAGATTCTTAGAGATGAATTGGATTTTTTTGAAATATTTGAAATAATCTAAGCGTGATATTCCCCTAGGTTGAATGTCATTGTTTGTGGTTGTCACACAGTCAACAATAATTTTCTCGTAAAAATCGCGTGAAAATCAATGCAATGAATTGCTGTGCTTGTTGTGTCCAAATGAAATCAAGAACTACAAATTGACATTGCAAATTTATTTTGTAATCATTGCAACCGAAATCGATTCTCATGCGAAACCACAACTTGCATCAGCAACTGGTACTGGCTATTCAGAGGGAATTCGCTTGAATTTTCTTCTCTGTCTCAATAATATATACACGACCGTTCACTAGAATTTTAACTTGTGCTCGACCGAAAATAGAAATGAAACGGAAACCGTTTGCATTTGCTTGAAGAAAGAAAATCCAAGTAAACATCTTTTATTGTGCAAGTGATTCATCCGGATTTATAGCGAACAACAAATGGAAGCATTTGAAATGGTGGAAAATATTTCTATTGGGACAAAGTATTTGTATTTTCTCCATGCATTTTTTTTTTCCTTCTGTCTGCTTCCCTATTCAATCTCCTTGCATCAACGTTGCAATCAAATAAAGAGCTGAACAAACAGCCGGATGCTTTCGTGCTCAAGTGCAGAGACAACGCTCATGTGATATACAATCAAATGCACACAAGAAATGCCCGTCAGATAAGAGAGGTGGAAAAAAAAAGTTCACCGACAGTTCGGTTCTGTTCTCAATCCATCCTCGACGAAACACATTCCGTCAACTTGTTACCTCTTGAACTTCTGAATGGTTGACTTATTTCGTACACATTTCAACGCTTGTACGGGGCGTAAATGTGCACCAAACACTGTAGATTTGTCCTATTTGTGGGGCTTCCAAACCGATTGCTGAAATACCGGAACATTTATAGCTTTATCCGGATTATACTGACCATATCGCGATGATCGCTTTTCATATTTGCAGGTGCGGCACGAATATCAGACAAATAAAATGAATTGAATGAGAAAAATGCTTGAAATAGTTAGAGGGTTTTTAATGAGGATAACGCGTCGAATATCATTGCAATCATTTTGAAATGATTTCATTCGATTTGATCCATTTTTCTGCTCTGTTATTACAAAAAACAACATTTTTCTTCAGAAGATATTTTTTCAATACGATTTTTCACTAAAAGTTTTCGGAAAAAAAAAACTTTCTCTCAATTTGCAGATAATTTGCTAGACGATTTAAAAACAACGGTGAATCGTACGACTGAGCATTTGAACTCGGCGAACACATTGAAATCGCGTGATGTTCAATTTTTATCACCATCGAACACGACAACAATTGTAGAAGAGCGTTCATCTAGCCCAGCTGGAGTAAGTACTAAATAAATTCAAGTGGAACGAATGCCACATATGTACGCTTTTGTTCTATTTTTTTCCTCTCCCACTCATATGAAAACCCAGGAAAATCGTAAAATCTACAAAAGCTCTCGGTATGAATACTCATCGTCAAGTAGCAACACACGTGACGGTAGAAAAATAGCCCAGCCCAAAAGCTATGAGTCAGTTGAACCAACAACCATAACCACTAGTACCAGCACCAATATAAATCAACTAGATAATTTGTTGGATGACTTGAAGCAGGAACGCGATTATTCATACGATAAAGGTAAACCAGTGCGACAACGGAACGGCTAACTTTATCGCCTTTTAAAATAATACTCTATTCGATTTATTCACTATATTTTGTAGCACAGATGCCGGCATTGATTCTGGTTTACTGTAAGTTTCAAACTTTAAATTGAACCAACTAATTTTTCGGTTGTTAAATAATTCAAATGCTTTTTTTTTCTTCTTCTCTCTTGTTGACACATACAGTGAGCCAAATACACATGTTACAAAAACCATCCGTACGGTGACCACGAACAAAAGTGGTTCCAAGAATGTAAATCGCGAATTGAAGTTCGATTCACCGGCATCGTATGATACGCAGCAACGGATTCGTCAACGTAGCCGCAGTCCAAACTATCAAGAACATATTGAATCGCAAATATTGCGTGACATTAAATATGACACGGAACCCGTACTGGATACAACACCAAATTCGACCATGTCTCGTACGTACAACGCATATTCGAAAACTGGCAACAGTTCGCGGAATGTTGTACCATACAATACGGAAATTGTGGAAATGGACACAACCGATTTGCCGGCTGATTTAAAAGATGTGCCCATTTCGAATGATTTGTTACCCGGGCCAGGCACAAAAGTCACGACAACGGTAAATACTGTGCCGCGACGGTTACACCATTTCCGAATCGAAATCAGTTTGCAATTTGAAACGTTTGATTTTGATTCATTCTGTTTTTGTTTTAGATCAAAACCTTCACATATGAAATTCCGAACGACACAAAGATGCCAACGAATAAAAATTTTTCATACAAAAATGAGTTTTACAATTCAATGAATTCATCGAACACTTATTATCCGGAACGTGATATTCCGCCACCAATAAAAACAACATCAACCGCTGTTTATTCAAATGAAACGAACAATAATACCACATTGAACCGGACGGACAATGTTTATCCGCCATCACCACAACAACAACAGCAACAGCCGCATCCGGATACGCTTGGTCCAAATCAAACGTACTATTACAAAAAGGAAGTGAATGAAACGAAAAACAATGTGTATGGACGACCAAGATCACCGGCACCAGCTCCCGCACCCGTTAATACCACAACCTCATTGTACGAACGCAATGTTAGCAATACACAAAATGTGTATCATCCACCAGGTGGTATCCCAGTCTACCCAAACAATGCCAATTTACCGCCGAATCAGCCCGGCTCAAAGCAAACCTATCTTTACAAAAAAGAAACGACAAACACAACAAATACGATGTATGAGCCACCGACCGGAAGAGAATATTTACCACATGATCGCTATGTGACCGATCCACGTAATGTTCCAATCAATCAACCATCATCATCACCACCACCACATCATGAGCCAACCACAAATAAATACTACAAATATTCGTCTACAAGCACCACAACCAATACGAACGATAGACGCCACGGAGGACCGGGACCAGATCGTGAGCCATTATTGGCACCATTCCCGATCGATGGCATCCCACAACAACCATCAAGCCAAGTTGACGGTCCACCCAAGCATCTGGGTCAATTGCTAGCTTCATTTGATGAGGTACAACCATGCACAATTAAAAATTTATCACGAACACACACACACATACACACTCCAATGCGAGTCTTCTTTCTACCAACTATCACGGCATTTACATAAAATTTTATTGTCGATTTGGGTGTGAGCACCAAACGACATCATTTTTGAGTGCATAAAGTGCACCCAAAGCGAGTGTGCCACTGTGCATAGGATTTAAAACGATTCACCAGCCAACAACATGCACATGCACACACACTTCAGAGACAATAAAATGACAATGACTGCAGATTTGAAAACTTTGTTGATAAATCCATTTGGCCTTGTCTGTATTATCATTGCCTTTTTATTCGCTCTCACCATCCCTTCATGCGCCGCTGGACATAAAATGTGTGTTTTTATCTCTCATTGAAACAAATAGTTTTCGTATGAATGTCAGCAAATCCGTGCTATCGTATGAATTCATTGTGATAGTTTTGTGCTATAGAATGCTATCCCGAAAATTGCCTTTTTGACATTTGCACAGATAAACACATTTGGATTCACATTTTCCGCCAAGAGTTAAACTTATATGGCCTTTTTTCGTATTTCCTCCCAAATTGATCGTTATGTTCTGATACGAGCGACGTTTTTTTTTCTGTTTCTATTTCTGTTCTCGTGTTTTGGTGTTTCTTTCTAAATACAGAATACTGGCCGAAGTGATGAGGAACCGTACATGCCACGAAAAGAGGTCAACACCGCATTGGCCACCAATAAAAGTATACCAGTGGTTGAGCCAAAAGCTCCAACGAAAAATATCGCCGGACCACCGGTGTACTATCCGCCGGGCCAGGAGTTGTTCGCGAAAAGTGAAGCTCAAGCCGCCTGGAGAGCACAGGTTAGTTTCGCAATATAAACCAAATTAACCGTTTTTTTTTTCTTCCTTCGCAGCGTTAAATGTTTTATGCGAATGGAATGTAGCCGCTGCAGCAGCACGGTGGCTTTAATTTTGTTCATCACTTGAGTAAATAACTAACAATTTTCTTTGTTCACTCTTTTCTTTTTCTCATTTTTGTTCTCTCATTGGTATTTGGTTTGCATCCAGGGTGGCTATGCCAAGGGCAGCGGTAAATATGAATACGAAGCTGAGAGCAAATCAAAGAGTACAAGTAAATCAGGTGCTGCTGTTGTTCCGGTTTGTTTACCATTGTGCTGTGCCATGCCCTGTACGATTATGTAAAACCATTACATTGGTCAAATGCATGGCAACGAAACTAAAACCAATGGTCAAATGCAAAGCAACGACAATTTGAGATAAACAACCATTAGATGCTCAATAGCACTCAAATTTTTTGACAGCGCATCACATACATATTCTCTTTTTTTCTACCAATTTTATCTCTACTAACAAACGCATTTCAAAATAAGTTTTGTAAACCGCTAAAATTAGTTCATTTAAGTTTCGATCATTTTCAAACAGAGAGAGAAGAGAGAACGAAAACGAAATGGCGAATCACTATGAAATTGGTCGCTAGAAAATCACTAATCATATTATTTTTGTATATTTGATATAATCAACTAATCCATTTATACTTTTTTCTTCGTCCTTTTTTTTCTACGTATTAATTACATTTTGAATCTCGCTTAATGACGTGAGTACGAGCCCCAAATAAACCTAGTAATAAACACTACACTTTTTTTCCTACAACAGCACCGCACCAGCAGTCAGTCGGTGGTAATACTGTTGATTCTCTTTTTGTGCCAGACAAAACGATTTGTCGAAATAATTTTTCTACTTTTAATTTCTATATTTATATGAAAAAATGCTAATAGGTTTTTTTCTTTTCGTCTCCAACATTTTATTTGATTATTTTTCCTGAATAATGAACGAGCGCAAAATTTGATTTCATCATTTTAACGAAAATTTTATTCGAAATGTAATCATTTTATTATTTTAATAAAACAAAAAAAAATTATACGAATTGTTGGATAATGCAGTGTGGTTTGGTTTTTGTAACGGTATTTCATTGGGCTGGACTTTTGTTTCAGAGAATTTTTTTTTGGGAAATAATGCCATAAATGATAAATTTAATTCAGTATTTTATTTTATTGATTTTTTTATTAAAATGGCGATTTGATTGGCGAAAATACATTTGAATCAATGACAATTTGGTTTTAAAATCACATGTTCAAATTCGGAACGAATTATATTTAAAATCACGTTTGAAATGCGCACATATTGTTTTTTTTCGGATATGGTAAAATGGGAGCATCCCTCTCATCGAAGTTCGGCTTAAAAGTAAATAATGATATGATGCAAAACGGTGACGAACAAATGCATATGAAATTTATTGTTTGGCTTTTCTCACCAGTGCAGTTCTACCATATTTTCATCGAAAGGCGATTAAACTGCATGGAACTGCATTTTTTTCTCTTCAAATTGTTAGTGTGAGAGAAAAAAAACTTATTCCACAAGAAAGCTATAGTTTCTTCACGTTGACGAATGACCTTGAAATGAGAAATTCAAGCTTTGCGTACTTAAGCTGAGTAAAAATGAAAAAATACTTATGGTAAAGTTGTTGAACAATTTATGAAGCTTTGAACATTACGGTGAAATGCTTTTGAAAGCTTCAGCTGTTGCTCCACTTACAAAGCTCCACACATACACACACACACACACACACACACACACACACACACAAAAGCAACATGGGAACTTGGAAAGTTCAATCGAATTTATTATAAGATCTATCGTTAAGTCTGTGCTTACTACTAAAATAATAACTGCAATGTCACATTTGCTGTTGTGCTCATTGCAATGATACATTTGCTACTTCGATATTAGAATGAAATATTGATAATCGACTCAAATTCATTGAATTTACCATCAAAAAATTCAAGTCTATCGACGAAGTGTCTTGAATTCTCCATAGAATTAGCCAAATTGAAATGAATGAGTGTTCTGACGCGACTTGACGTTCAATATTCGCATTGCAAGAGGGACTCCCATTAATTGGAGCTAATTATGAATAAATTCAAATTAAGTCTCAAACTCTAAACTAATTTTGTACGTGAAAAGAGAAGAAATTAGTTCTTTTTGATGTAAGCCGTTGGTGTCATCATTTTGATAATAATAATTCATAGCGTACATATGGGTTCAACCCAATTTCATCAAATAGACTTTACAAAGTTTATGCGGGAGAAAATGTGATTAGATTGGAATTTGAGAGAGAGAGAGAGAGAGAGAGTATTTGTGTGTTCTATTGTGTGTGTTTTAATTGGGAGAATTTGAAAATCTGCAACGTGCTTGAAGAATGGGGTATTTTCGGCCGAATTTCGTGGTCAAACAGCTATTTAAATAGTGAGTGTTTTGGGCTGTTGAAATTGCATATGATAGTGTCATGTGGCACAAAACCTGTACATAAATGGATTTAACGTGTTTTATATTTGATGCGCGAGAGTGTACGAGAAAGAGTGTGAAAATGATCGAATTAATTTAAGCGATATTGTGTCCTGTTTCGTAAACGAAGCCACATTACGTGCCATGTATTAAATACCACTCACGTTTTTGTTTTGTTTCGTTTCGAGGTAGTTTTTATTTTGTTCATTCTCATTTGCATGCGCTGAATCAAGTTCAAATCGAGGAAACCATAGGATCAGGCTTGCCGTTGAGACGACAGATGGTTGAATGTGTGTTTGTGTGTGTGTGTACGGTGGTGTGATGCGAGACATGTCGAGGATTATTCACACAAACAGCTTTATGGCTAGTGGACAATAACTACAAGTTCTATCCAATTGCATGTGCAATGCATCAACAATTTCGCATTTAAATTTCACATTTTCGAGGATTTAATTTAAACAATATTCAGAAATCACGTTTAACGAAACATTTTTCTCTGTCGCTCTCGCCCTCGCTCTCGCTCTTTCATTCACTTCGCCGGTGTGCTGTGTGTTTGGATTGTTGATTAAGTCAAGAACATCTGCATTTAGGCTTTTTACATTGGTTTTTGTTCCATTTCGGGTCCGTAATGATTTTTCGTGTTTGCGAGAGTGTGAGTATGGGTGTGAGTATATGTATGTTGGGTGTGCGCGCAAATTAGTTGTGCATTCATGTGACAGCGATCAGACAATTTTGCGAATGGTAAAACCGACAATGAAAAACCTCATGCCACTCATTTGATGCATACCGATATATATATATGTATACATGCTCTTGGCATTGACACTTCAATGCAATTGCAAAGTGCCAGTATATGTGAGTGTGTGTACGTGTGCAAATCTGGTTAAAACACTTTTGCACATTCATAATCTTATCTATAATGCCGCCAACAGGGATTCAACCAACAAATATATTATTCACATCGAAATGCTTTTCATGCAAATTCCATTTCGAATCGTAATGCATCTCGGCAACGGCAACGGCAGCACATAAAACCAACATCCAAATAAAAATTGATGGAATGACATTTCCGTGCAAAACTTTTCGAATTTATTTAGTAAATTTTAAATTTGCATTCGAAACTGAACCAAATCGACACCGCGAAAACTATCTTTAGATCCAAGACCTTAAGTCAAACAGAAGAAAAAAAAACGTTCGAATATTTGATTGAGTGGAAAAACTTTAAATTCACAAAGATTTTGCATCGTGAAAGTTGTTCCGTACAAAGAAGGCATTCTACATCATTATCATCGCGTAAAAATTGATTTCACACAAAAAAAAATCCGTCTTTTTGCATCCGACGACCATGGCACATAAACATTTTGTCTGCAAATAAAGAGCCATGCTCTTTCACATTCAAACAACGAAGCTTTCGAGCTTGCATCGAATGCAAATTGTAATTGACACACAAAATGCGAATGACGAACGAAGAAAGGGGCAAAAAAAAGAACGAATGAATTTCACAAACATTTCTTATTCATGATTATCCTGTGCATGAAATAAGAAATTTCAACATTTTCCAATCGACATCCATCCCGATTCTTCCGGTGCAAATCCGTATTCCATTTCATTCGTCTCCCCGAAGGAACGATGCGTATACAAGTTATGCGATTTCATGACAAAGTTCGTTGACGGTATCAAAAAAATCGAACCAGATTTTCAACATTCGCTAAGTTTTCGTAAATCTTAATCTCTCATTTCAAGTCAAACTTTGAATGACACTTACAAATTCACTCATTCCGGACATCCATTGAAAAAAGTTCTCGTTCTGAATTAATTATTGGTTGGCAGCGATAATATCCGACACGATAAGAACATAAGTCGACCTATTTCTTCTTCATTTTCAAAGATACACAGTTGCCCGATGATGTGGATTGCTTCTATGCTCAGAGTTTTACTAAAATATCATTTCTAAAATTGGCAATCCGTTTATTCTTGAGATAAGTGAGTTTTTATTTTGGTGATAGTCTTTACTTCTTCAGCATTCGGATGGAGTGACCGAAAAAAAGCCGGACAAATATGCCAAAAAATTTGACACTGGGTCAACACTATTTTTTTTTCTAGCCATTTCATATGTTTATTTCGTCATAGAAATGTTCGTTTCTCATTCTGTTTGGTCGCAGTCATCAATCCAAAGTGGCGGTCTATATGATTGTTCCTTACTTCCGTGTACTTTGCTTAAATCGTCAACAAAACGCATGGAGTATTTTTCTGTTTTGCTTTATAAGGTGATTATAATATAAAATTTCGTTATGATTCTGAAATCTTATATTGTGCGGATAAAGAATTTTATCTGCAACTGCGATCCTTATAATCGAACACTTTCACCGATACGGATAATTATTTGCATTGGTATTTGTGAGCCATGAAAAAAAGTACGAGTTAACCGTAGCACAAGCAATCTGTGCCATTTTCCATAGGGCACTTCCACTCCCATTAAATTCGTATTATGAATGTTAAGGTGCATTTCGGTAGCTGCTATTAAAAAATATGCACAGCTATCGCCTAAAAATAGAAGCTACTAATATCTTGAGATATGGCTGTATATAAAATGAGATCTCTGAATGATTGTATACGATTTTATCTTCAGCTTTGATTTGAATTCATATCAAATTCTAAAACCGTTTTAAAAACTATTCTTTTTTTTCCGCTAACATCAATATATCGAAGTCATGGGATAATTCATGAAATAAATTTCATTGGGAAGTTTAAGCTTGACAATGTCTAGACGTCATGGATATCGTCATAGATATTGCGCGGCCGCGTGCGTGCTCTCACCTTGCTCATTTGAATACGCCCATAAACATTGATTATATGACCATCACGGGCAGTAAATTATATCAAATTCGATTCTGATGAAAATCACCTGTAATGGTGTAAACAATGAATCAAGATCTCCGACCACGGAACGAAAAGGAGAAACGACAGCAAATAAAACACTTGAACAATTTATCCATCACAAAGAAATCCAGTTTATTTTATTGAATCGAACGAAATTTTTCCTTCAAAACATCGCGAGAAAAAAAAGAGAAAAAATAAAAGAAAAAATAATAAAAAATAAATTTTGTTTTACAGCCACTCAAAAATAAATTAGTTTAAGCATACTATGATATCATCATGTGTTGTTTATAGAATTTTGTGAATATCGCCGTTGTGGACGGAGTTTCTATGCACATTCTGGAATATTTTTGGTGCTGAGCAATTCGCAGAAGACGGCCTTAAGGTTCTTGAATGCTTTGTTATTCAATTCTTGGTTCAACTCCTGCGAGAAAACGAAATGAAATGGTTTAGAACGTGTTGAAATGGCGATAAAATTCGATCCAAATTGGGATTGAATTCAAATGAACATCATTGACACTGGGCAAATATGTTTTTCAATGATAAAATACATACGTTATTGAAAACAATCGTTGGGACGCTCTCCAAACGTGGAACGGAGATTTTCTTGGTATCTCTTTCAGCTTGAAGTTGTAACTTTTTGCTTTCGTCACCATCGACACATTTGCTGACCTCGGTCCAATCGCCGCCGGCCTCTTCCAAACACTATTTTTGTGATAACGAGCGAGAGATGGAGAGATAGAGAGAGAGAGAGAGAGAGAGAGAGAGAAGAGCGCGTCGAATGACAATGAAATTGAACAAAGTTAATTGAAAATGCAATGTGACGAGATGGAGAGCGAAAAAAAAGCGTGGCATAACAGCGCACGTACTACGAACCTCTTTACCGGTTTGATCGGCTTCAGTGCGCATTTGACACACAACGAATTGTTGTCTAGCATCTTGGCTTTTCAAGTATTTAACACCACATGAATGGATGCGATTGGCAAGGCATTCCTTTGGCCCGTGATGGCATTCGAATTCATTTCCTTCGGCATCTAAACTTTTAGCCCGTCCGAAAGGAATGAACTCCAAATTTATATATTTCTTGAATAAATAGTAATCACGGCCCAAATCTGTCCATAGTTTTCGGCTGTCGGGGCAAAGTCCCTCATAGTATACAGTGACTGGTAGAGCGCTGCTATCATCGGTGGATGCAGCACGAGCTTCGGTCGATGGTTCCGTTATTGGTTTTCCATCGTCATGCTTTTCATCGTGATGGTGTTCGTGTTCGTGTTCGTGTTCAGATGAGGGTGGATGGGCCATGGCGACAGCCATCAAAACGGCAAAAACGGTGCAAATAAAGAACTTCATTTTGAATATTCTACAGGAAGCCAACAAAAGGGAAAAAAAATAACAGACATATAGAATAGGATATATTAATGTACCGTATGAAATACAAAAACTCCATTTTGGCACTTAGTATTCCACTTCGTCGAATTGGATTGAATCAATGGATAAGCACCAAAGTTGAAAATAATTAATTGATCGAGTGGTTTGCGTTACTCCAGCTAATATTCAGCCGATGACGAGAGAGAATGAGTGAGAGAGAGAGAGAGAGAGAGAGGAGGAAACGATATTTACCACATGCATTGAGGTTTATTTCTTTGTAATTGAGTTACGTGTCAAAGATAAACGTTTCTCGTTCGATGTGTGGCGGCGTGCGTGTTTGTGTGTGTGCTAATCTGCAGGCTTTCGTGGTTGTACGATTTCAACGCTTTGTTAGATTGTTAACTTTTTGCCTGAGTTTATGGATACGTGCAGATCATCCTCAATGACGAAAATCACAAATGTACCAGCTACCCCAAAAACACACTCAATCGAATACAAAGCACAGACACAAACATCAAAATATGTATGTATATATTATACACACACGGATCTCTCGAGATGACTTTGGCATAACTTGTGGACACGGCACACACCATATTTCCAAAGCAGATTGGAATGGTAAATAGTATCGAAAATTCAATCAATATCACCACTAATAAAACCATGTCAATCGTTCAGATTCACTTGTCGGTCGTAAATAATAAATGACAACTGCACACGTACACACACACACAGTGAGAGATACAAACAAACAAACAATTCATTTCGATTCGGATTTGCCGTTCAATGTTCAACCACCAGAAAGAACACAATCATTTTGGACCCAAATTTCCAAAGAAATAGACAGAGAGACAACAGAGAGTTACGGAACAATTTACTTACCGTTTTTGGATGATAGTTCAAGTTGTTTTCTTGTCAAAGAGCTATAAACTAATGATGCAGCTTATGAATTCGACACACCGTTTTATATACCGAAAATAATATGTATATGGCCAATGGCTTGAAGATGTGTTCGTTGGTTGTGTCTTCTTCTTCTCATTTTTCTCCCTATCTCTCTCTCGCTCGCTCACTCGCTCGCTTGCTCAATCACACGCAAACACACACCTGTCAAACACGTGAACATGTGTGTTTGAAAGAGTATGGGAATTAACCTTACATTAAAAGCCAAACAACAAAGGCAAAATTATGATTAAAACCTGATTTCGATAGAGTCATCACGCAGACAATTTCTGTGGCGTGCGATGCTGCTGTTCTTTTCTGTTGGACTCCCATCTTCTTTTCGCCTATTCAATGTTGTTTTGTATAAGATCGTGCTACGAACGAGCGTCTTTTCGTTCACTCAATCGTATTCCCCACTCACTTCTGCACATCATCATTTTGTTCAATAAAAAAAAAAACGCTCATTTCAAAATTACTTCAAATAACTTCATATTTTATTGCATTAAATTAAACATTCATCTATTATGTTGTCATTTTTTATGACCTTACGACCATTTCGCATTGAACAAATGGCCTGTGTGTTCTATTGCAGAGAGAGAGAGAGAGAGAGAGAGAAACACAAAGGCACACACTGTGAAGCTTATACAATAAAATGAAGGAATATTACATTTTACAAAACGTTAGCGTATCGGAAATTGCAATGATTAAAAGCAAACGACGAATGGAGTAAATCAGAATCAAGATGGAACAAAAGACGCATCAAACCAATTAAGTGGCTGGAAAGACGACAAACAAACGATCAACTGTGTAATGACAGTTCTCAGATACAAGTACCCAGAATATAGTCATGTATATTTGTATGTATAAATACAATGCGGCTGTTTTGACAAACAATTGATTCTGAGCAAAACATTTCGATGCCGTTCATGCATATCATTAATTTCATGAATGGTAAATTTTGGCCATTTAACCAGACAATTGATGTGGACCTAGCCTCTACACATTAATTGCCAACGGCAATGTTGACACACCGTTGATGTTGTGGCCGCTTCGGTGGCTGCTGTGGCTGCTGTCATTGCACTTCCAATGGATGCGTATGGACGAGTGTTTCTACCACGTTGCGACTTTTTGTTCATCGCACTGATTATTTTTAGAACACCCGAACCACGCATATGCATCAGAGTTGAAACACAGCCAGTTTTGGTTAAGGTAATAATTAGCGAATTTTTCCACAAAATATTATCGTAAATATGCAACACCAGAGTTGCGATCAGCTTTTAAGAGGAATCTATAAATAAGAGCGACGTATTTAATTTCACTTAAAATTACTGTACTTACATTTATCGGGTGTCTCCCCCAAAACCAACCAAGCCGCCAGCTAATCAACAGTCACGACATCCGACAAGTGCTACACAATGCAACAAAACAAATTCGATTCTACTTCAATTCGATTCGAAATCCAAGTAATTCAATCGTTGACCCTTTTTAAATGGTTTCCATGTTTTCATTTCAGCGTGTGATGTAAAATCGACGGATAAAGTATCGCCTGTTTTTAGTATCAAAAAGGTATGCATAAATCGGGTGATACTTCATCCGGCCACTATACGTGATATTCGGAGGCGAGTTTGAAATTGATGCTTGCTGAACACGGATGAAAGAGGCATTCAAATGATTGTTTATGAAAGAGACATTTGAATAAAGACAGTGTCTTGAAGACACTGCTTTTTCTTTTGAAAAAAGACGATATGAAAACTATTTCACTAAAAAATATCGAATATGCATCCTTCGTTACGAAAGTTGCGTGTGTGATGTGACTGCTGCTTCTCTTATTGAATCAGAGAATCAGTCCAGGGGGTCAACGCAATCTTGCTTTAAGAAGCGATCGTTATTAAATGGATTCAATGGCAAATATGTATTTAAAAGGCTCAGAAACACCATATTTTTAAACAGTAATTAACAGAACGATAGCAGGATGTATGGTTTGACTCAATAAAATCCCGGCTTCATCTCAACCATAGGACAAACTTGAAGATTGATTTAATCTAAAATTGCATCTAGTTTGAAATGAGGCTCAGCAGACAAAACAATTTCAGTCACATTTCGATGACTTTTCGGTGCAGGATGTGTTCAAATTTCCATTTAATTTTCTTATTTACCATTTGTTACATTGAACACTGGTGTTCGTTCAAAATATGTGTTCAATGTAACTGTTCGGCGAGAGTTTCCGTATCGGTTTCTCTGCCTTGATGTTCGACAACATTTGCAGCATTGCTTTGTTAACTCTGAACAAAACCACAATGTTGTTAACACACACACACACACTCCGGCCGTAATATGTTGGATGTATCAAATGTGTTGTCTTGTTGCTGACGTATGTATGCATGCATTGTTAGAAAATCCAAGCATGTTCTTCATTAATTTGCATTGTTACTAGTTAATCTCATCAAACGATCAATTAGTGCTGCTGCCGTTGCCGTTGTACTAGTATTAGCTGTGTTTGTCAACGTGTGAATCAATTGACTCTCTCACTCACAGTCCATATTATGTTTGCGTATGCATTTATTCGTAAATATTTGTATACAGATTTCATATAATTTGTGTCTGTGTTTATCATTTCTGGTTTTGTTTTTTTTGTTGTGTCAATTACACTTGTCCTCTGTATTTACAATTAAGTTTTAAGATCTATTTATTATCTATAACATTTATTTGTTCAAGTTTGTTGTTGTTGTTGTTGCTGTTGTTGTTGACCTTTTTCCATCGAAATCAAATCTATTTTTTTGTTTCATTCTCTGCATTTAGATTATATTTTAGTGTTTTAAATTACATCTATGCATATCTCTACAATATGAAGAATTCCAAAAATGCGTCCCTACAAAAATGACAGTGTAGCGTCACGAAATATGTTCGGAGAAATGTATTTATTTAAATCGTGTTTGTTTTTCTGTTCTGTTTCTGCCCGTTGAAAAGAAGAAACGAAAAACTGGTCACAACATTATTTCAAAAATGAATTATAAATGGTGTGGGAGGATTTTTCGACAGTTAGGTCGTTTATGTAATTTTAAAGTTCTATCCGACAAATTGAAAGTTTTGCTTGATTTTTTTTTCTGTTTCTACAAAGAGAGTAACGCATTGTTGGTTAGTTCCAGTTGTGTGTGTGTGTGTTTAGATTTATGTTTAATTTTGGAGAATTTTTGTTAAAAAATGATTTTGATTGAGTTCTCGGTAAATGTTAAGCAGAGAAATATTGAGTTTTGATTCGTTTTCTTCGAATTTGATCATCAACAGCAATTTGAAATGAATTTTTCCCACATTTTCACGCGTTTTTTTTCTTGTCTTTAATTCATTCTTTTCATTTTATAGACAAATTTCGAATAAACTAACGATATTAAATCCAAATGAATTCTTTTTTTTAGTTTTAGTGTTTGTTGTCTTCATTTAGTGTTTAGAAATGTTTCGCGCAATTTCAGAACTACTGAATTAAATTCTAGAGAATCGAGAGTTCCAATATATATGACCAATGTTTTGATTTTCAATACTCTTATACAAGATAGAAATCCTTAACTTACTCAAATCAAATCGTTTGCAACCGAAACACAAGAACAACAGAAAGTAAAAAAAATCAAACAGATTTACGGAGATTATGCTAATCGAATGGGGAATAATTGGAGGCGCCAACAGAAGAAGCAAAGGAAAAAAAAATAGAACAAGAAGAGAAAAACAAACGAAAAAATGCCGTTCAATCAAAAGAGAATGAAAAAGCTGTAAATAGATGTCACGGAAATTATCTAGCAAATATCAAAAAACTGGTTTAACCGCATCAAATTAAAAGTGTCGTTTATCAAGATGTGGAAAACCATATAGAATGATGAATAGATGCAGATTCGATCGAAAGATGTGTCAAAGCGAATTCCCATGTTTTTATCGCTGTTGTATAAACATAAAGCAATATGTGAATACGATAAAATACAACTTAGAACTAAATCTTAAAATCAATCGAATAAAATTGGTTATGCATAAAAGATTTGTTGTGTTTTTGTTTTTGTTCGTAATAATTTCTTCTTTTCTTCTTTTCTTCGAAAAATAACTTATTTTCAAATGTGTGTGTGGTGTTTGTGCCCGGTGTTTGTAATAAATCCAGATAGTTAACAACACACACACATACACACCGCTTAAGTAATTTGGATGACACCACACCATACACAAGCAGACACACACACTCCGCTAATTCGTGTGTGCACGTGAGTGTGCTGTTTGCTACGATCGTCGTGTATACTATTTAAATGGTGCCTTTTCGGGTGAATGTCAGCGATAGTCGCGGTTTTCTCTGTCGCGGTTGCATCGAATAAAGTCGATTCTTTCGAAATAGCAGTAGATCATCGTCGAGCGTATCCGACATCGGTGATGTATTCATGGCACTGGAGGGATTCAGGGTTGACGGTGGAACATATAAACAAACCGTGAATAAAATGAAAAAAAAAGAATTAAAAAAAAACAGACACACACATGATAAAGTGTTATTCTGATAATTTCAATGGAAGGTATAGTGATGGATGTTGGCGGAATGAATGAGCGACGAGACGAGACGAGACAAGACGAGACGTGAGTGAGAGAGCGTTCGTGAGCAAAGGCAAGTGAAAGGAATCAATTTAGGAGCTAAGAATAATGGTTATTTTAAATGGGATTTTTGGGTCATGAACCCCGCAGCATCGAAGAAACAATTGAATGAACAACGGAGCAAGTGGGTGAGAGTGGAAGATAGAAGGAGACAGATTAAGACAGAGAGAAAGAGAGAGAGAGAAATCGAGTCAGAAAAATAGAATCATTTTGATAAGAATTTTCAATCAGATTTCTGGTGCTCGTACATACAACTGATTTCACAATAAATTGCGTCAATCGACTCCGATTACAAGAAATGCTTCGGAGGACAAACGTGTAGCCCTCACAATCATCATAGCATACCAATGTTTTCTTTCTCTTTCTATCATTCTTTTATCATTCGTTCATCCACACAGAGCTCTTTTGCTTCGATTTACTGGTAAAATTTATGAACGCCGAACATTAGTCGGTTCACACCGATATATTCTGAATCGAAGCGCTATGAAAAGTTTGACGGCGCTTTTGAGCACATTCTAACAGGTTTATGCGCATATATTTTCGTCGTCGTTATCGTCGTATATGGTCTCATAATAAAAAAAGAACACAGCCAGCTGCCGAAAATGCAAAGCAACACATCCAAAATGAAATGAGGAAATGAAGAGAAATAATAAATAAATAAATAGCAACAACAAAGTGGAATGATAACGTTTAGCTATTTATCAGCCATAAATCTGGCGATGAAAATTCAATCAATTTCGATGTGAATGTTTGCATTGGCAAATGGATGGTGGCATTTTTGTGCGTACGAGCATTCTTCTGTCGCTCTCTGTCTCTTAAAGCCGACGTAGAATGTGGAATCGGATGTTATTTGCTCGCGGCACAAAAGATCGGCTTTTACAACTCTCGACGAGCGAGCGCATGGGGATATATGGAGCAAAAAAATTTATGCAATTTTTAACAATGCCACAATCAATAACCATTCTTTAAATCGCAATAAAATCGCCGTGTTCATTGATTTATCGGTTTTCATGTAATCAGTTCATAAATCAATATTAAATGTGTTGAAAATGCAAGTCGATCGTGCTTTGTCTAATTGGTTAGCTGCGATTTTCTGATCGAATTTTAACCCAACGAAATGACGTTGCTGCTCAATTCGAGCTTTGTACTCATTTAATCACGACTCAAGACCGTTCGTGTTTTGTTCCAGTATGTACTTGATTCTTTCAAAGACAAACAAAATGTATTCCGATGATTCAAATGTTCATTTAACATAAAATTGCAAAACGCTCAGTAATTATCCGTCAGAAAATTCACATCGAAATTCATTCGAACGGAAGTTGTGACGTGTCAAATGATTTTCTCAGCTTATTGTTCTTTGGGGATGGTTGCGCTTTAACTGTGAATAATATTTGTTCATTGTCTCGCGCAGCCCACACTTTTCAGTTTGTTAAATTCGTTATTCAATCTTATCATTGAAAAAATGGTGTTAAGGCGGTTTCAGTGGTGCGCACAATTTGCATTTGGATGTCGCCTTCGTGGCAATTCAAATGCCGAATATAACAGCAACAACAACAACGACTACACAAAAAAGAAATTGGTTGAGCTTCTCTTAATCGTTTTCCAATCAAAATTAACTCATGCTTAAAAAAAAAAACAAATATTTATGCAAAGTAATGAATGTTATTTTCTGGCATCCCGTAATTTCATTTAAATGTTTAAAATGACTTTTTCACCATATTCAAAATATGAATACCAAAACGGGCGACGTTCTTCGAAAAGCTTCTTATATCATGTTGTTTGCAGAAAGTCAACGCAGATTGACAACGTTTTTCTTAAACTGATGGCTCAACGACGCGAAAATCAACAAAGTTATTCTCCGAATCCGAACGCCTCATCCTGTACTCGCCATGCAACAAATTTCCGTCTACGGTTGATATTTCTATATATGGTCAGTTGGTCTCAATGCAGATAAAATTGGGTGCAACTCACCTTAATTCCAATTTGGCAATACGTTGCTTAAGTTTGGCTTGGCTGGCCGAATATTCGGCAAGGAGACGAGCCAATCGTATGTTCAGGTTATCAATGGATTTTTCCAGCTTGTGAACGCCATCGGTCAGCGTTTCTTGTACTGTGGATGCCTCTGCATAACAGTCAATAAAAAAAAAAATGAAGAAGAAGATAAGAAAAAAATGGAGAAAAAAATTATTTGTGTGGGTTTAGTTCAAAAGAGGCGAACAAAATATCAAACGAAAATCGAACCGTTTGAAGGTTACTTACTTGCGAAGAGGTCTTCATCGAGCAAACCATCCTTTCGTAACAGTTGACAACCGCGTTCGGTTAACGATGCTCTCGCTTCTGGGTAATCGCCCAGTGTCTCCCATAAATCTCGCTTGGCCAAACAAAACAGATCCGAATAACCTGTCAATCGGGCCGGGTATGTTTTCGAAAGGTCATCAAAACCAATAAAAGAGAGCGAAAGAGGGAGAAAAGCAACAGAAAAACATAAAGAGATTGTAATCTGGGAGTATCAATGGCAAATGAAAGGCAATGTGTAAATCAATCGTTTTTCTCCACCGTTTTCATCACAAATATAGATTGAGTGAACGAAAGAAATAGAGAGAAAGAAAAAGGAAAAGCGAATGAGTCTTTTTGTTTCGTATACTTTACCAAGTGATCGAACGTTGGCTGTACGGCGATTACCAGTTTTATTGCCGGGTATATCGAGTACAGAGACCTCACCAAAAACGGAGCCAGCACCAAGTGTTGCCAATACAGTGACACCATCGTCAGCCACCACCGATAATCGACCTCGTTTCACAATATACATCTCTTTTCCGACATCACCTTTGCGACAAATATAATCCCCCGGACTGAATACCTACATGATGTTTTGTTGTTATTTTTGTTGTTTTGTTTTTTTGGGAGAAAAGGCAAGCGAAATGCACATAAAAACCAGCACGAAAGAAGACATCTTCACATCAAATCATCAAGTCACACACACACTCACAAAATGTATATGGAAAAAAATATGATGTTAAAAGAGAAAACAAGTGAAATTGCAAGAAAACACTTACTTCGACAAATACGCGAAAGAGAACGAAAAGAGAAAGAAAGCGAAAGAGATATAGGTGTGGAAAAAACGCGACGAAAATGTTTGGCATGTACTTATAATGGTGAGTTATGTACACGATTTTCATTGTTGCCGTCGCTGTCACCGTGCGTTACTTTGAAATAATTTGTTTGTTGACTGATCGAAAAACAGCGAGTATCGCTCAAGGCTCAAGTGTTACTTTTTCTGTCTCACGATTTTTCCTTCCTTTTCAATCTTTCTCTCTCTCTCTCTCTCTCTCTCTCTCTCCCTCTATCTATCTCTCTCTCTCTGCACACAATGGCATAAGGAGAGCATGATTTGGGCGGGGATGTCGCCGGGTAAACATGACATCAAAATTCCCAAGAACGATTCTTTTACGCTTGTTTTATTTATTTTATTGCTGCAATTCTAATCAAATAAAGCTTGATTTAAGCGATTATTTCCTTAACGTCACACATTCTTGCTCTGAGAGCGGAACGACAGGGAGAGATCGAGTGGGAACAGAAGGAATAATCGCGTAGCAAAAGAGATTTTGGTGACCAAGTGTAATTACAATCATACAAATCTGGATGGATCGTTGACGATTCCTATCCATTTATGTGCATTTGATTGCATTAATATGGATTTTCAATTTTTGCTCAGTAAGTTTTCATAAATAATTTTTTCTCACCGGGAACATCGACATCAAATTGTATTCGACGAAATACCATTGTTTGTATTTCACATCCGAAATGCAAAAGAATTGTGAACGCACGCGATTTTTTCCTTCATCTGTCGGTCGCATACCACAACAATAGGCGAAAACGAAATGAATAGAACAAGAAATACCATAGAATTGATTCAATGGAAGCGCATTCAGCATTTTGTGTGTCAAAAGCGACAAATCTAACAACTGAAATGATGTTGAATTATTTTTTTCTTGTTCGTTCATTCGTTCCATTTTGCTTTTCTCATTTATTTCATTCGCTGTTGGTATTTTTCATTCGAAAATTTCCAGTGTCGTTTTTTTTCGGTCGTGTTTTCGTGTGGTTTTTCGTGCAAATAAATTGTCGAATTGCGTAGGCCAAAAGAATTTTGAGCTGTTTTTTTTCGCTCGCTTTTACTTTCTTTGTCTCTCAGTGTTTGAGTCAATGGATCATTTAAATGAATGGTGCAAACACCACTGCTGCCGCCGTTGTTGTCGTTTTTTTCCCCATTCAATGATTCAATTGTATGGGCTTTATTATATATAGTGGTAAGCACTTGACTGTCTTTCAATAAAATATCTAGCAACGAATTTTTGGCGTTTTAATTGTCACGCAATGGTGTGATGTATTCAGAAAGTGTGTGGTTGGTCGGCGAAATGAAAATGCAAAAGACGACCAAATGAGAAGCAAGACGATGAAGTTGGCTCGTGTTAAATATTTGGGCGATATCATGGACAAATGGATAACAATAAATTGTAATAAACGCCACCGACAAGAAAAGCGAGAGAGAGAGAAAAAAAGGCAAAGACCAAATATGATAGACGCGCACTGCACGGGGAGCAGAAGCAATGAAAGGAAATAAAGACATACATTCGACTCAATTGTTTGCAAGTCATTCGTGTTAAGTACAATAGCAAGCGAAGGGGCCAGAAAAAGAGAGAGAGAGAGCGAGATGAAGGCAGCAAGTGAATTGTATTTTTGGTGGTTAAAGTACGCGCAAGGCGTTATGACTTTATTATCTAGCTTCAGGCGATGTGAATCATCGTTTCATCTGTACTGAGTACAACAAATTGTAGGAGAAAAAAGAAGGAGACGCAAATGGGGCACCAATTTTATTGTATTTCCATACTTATACAAACGGTTTGACATTGGTGTATAATCCATGGGAAAAAAGGTTATTGTTTCACAGCGTGCGCGCACGCTCACAAGCTTTGCTTTTCAACGCACTATTTCCAACCACCGTGTGTCTGTGTAAGTTTACCACTATAAATCGATGAACTTATCGAAATCTCACATGGGGATTGATTACATTGCTCCCGCACAAATTAAACCATCGCATACAAATTTTAAGCGATGAATCAGCAGGGAAAAAGCAACAAAATTCTACCAAACTTAATATTTGCTGATCGAACAGATTGACACAGAAACAAACATACACACACACACACACACACACACACATGCTCATATGAAAACCATTGCGAAAAAAACGCTAAATAAAATCGTTATCGATTTACAGTTGGAGATAACACATACACACAAACACACATTCCAAATGTATTTACCTGTAGCTTAAGTTTTAATACCAGCGCCTCCAGCAACCCGGGTTCGCAATCTTGAAAGATGCGCACTTGCTTTAATGTATCCATATGAACGCGAATCGCAATTTCGGCTTTGAATTTATCCGGCAATGCAGACAGTACACGTTCTTCGTCGAGGGCTCCGCTCCTAGCCCATGTGTACGCAAACCATCGTATTACCTGCCAATAAAATTCCATATATCATCAAAAAATAATTTCAACCATAGAAGAAGAACCGATAATATTTTTTGTCACTCTCTTTCTCACTCGCTGACATGTGAACACTGTTCACTGAACAGGCAATGTATATATACATTCCATTTTGTTTTTAAACTTCGCGATGATGCGATGTTTTTCGTTATATGGATTAATAATGGAAATTGAACAAAAATAGAATCACATTAATATTACCACGAACGCCAAAACTTTTAATTACCGCACATTGAAAATAACAACAGGCGTGCCAAATTTATGAGAAAAAATAGGAATTGCACGCGCGCATGTCGCGTTCCACAATCACGATATGCGTTGATGAAAATTTCGAAAGTATCAACATTTTAATTAAAAAAAAACTATGAATAACAACTTGAAAAAGAGAGTTCGTAATACTCATTATTTCGCATAAATTTGTGATTTTCGAAGCGTAAGAGCAAAACAACAACAAATGAAAACAATTCATTTATTGACGCAAATCCTGTGTAATAGACATTTTAGTTTTAATGGCTGTCAACATTTTTTTCTCTATTCCTCCGTTTTAAGCATAACATCAAATTATTTATCACATTTTTTGGTTCACATCGATGTGAAAATTACCGATCGACAAGTTATATTATGTCGGAATTTATTAAATTAGTTTTTAAAACTAAATTTTTTGATTTAGTAACGAGTTTAATGAATAGAAAAATAATATGGATCAAATGTCCTAGTAAACAATTTGTTGATGTCTTTCTATTTAATTGCTTTATATTTCGGTAATGTCGTTAAAAAAAAATTCTCCAATAAAAAGCAATTTGTGATATCGTTCTCAGAATTGTTCACCAAATTCTATGCAAATAAAACTAATTGATTGCAAAGAAAGAGCGAGGAGAAAGAGTGGAAATGCGGATGAACAAAAGAAAAAAATAACACTGAAAAATCAACTAACCCTCGCTTCAAGTTCGTGGCCCACTTTTCGAAAAGCCATATACTGCTTCACACCATCCATACGATTTTGGAATTCGACCCGTGACACGTTTATATTCGATATCATCGAACCAATGTTACCTAGAAAATAAAATGAACGTAGGAAAACCAGCGAGATAACAACACACCTTGAGCATCTTTTTTTGGTCAATTATATTAAATGAAGCGTATTGCGCAAATTGAATGGTTTGAAAGGTGAGCAGGGTACGAAAATAAGTCATGGAATTTGGGATTGTTATCGGGACAAATACAAAGGATTAAAGAGTCGTAACGCGCCTATGGCATTAATCAAGGATTGTATTTTATCACAAGCGAAGAATAATCAGTCGAGAAAAACGACGAAGAATTAGAGAAAAATAAATTGCAAAGTTTCAAAACTCACCGACAATGGTGGCAAAGATGAGAACGCCGGCCAGAAAATCGGCCACGACAAACAAATATTCGACATCGTTCTCGGGTGTTGGCGTCTCACCGATCGTGGTCAAGGTCAACGTTGACCAATAAAATGAGTAAATATACTGTCGTGACAGTGTTGAATTGACTGTGCCATTATTATTATACACCCAATTATCGGAGCCGAATCCAAGGGCAAAGCTAATTGCAAAGTACAAACAGGCATTCCAATGGATTAAAACTAAAATCGCTAAAACAACCTGGAAGTAAAAGAAAGGGCAATTAAATAAGATATCACATTGATACCAATTAGTATATGTATTAGAGAGAAAGAAAATGGCAAACAAACGAATTAGGGAAACGGGTTTTTGTTTTCGTTCCTGTGAAATAGAGAGAGAGAAAAAAAAACAATAAAAATCCAAAGTGAAATCAGCTTACTTTACAAATACGGAATGCATTTGGGTAACCGGTTGCCGTTTCGGTACGTTCAAACCATTCGAGCATTCTCGGAAGACGAAATAGCCGATTTAATCGCACAATCACTGGGCCTGGCACTTGGATGTGACATTTGCCAGGCATCCACCAAAAATATGCGAAATCTGTCGGCAACACCGATAAAAAATCCAGACGCCATCCTTTTGTTGTGAAATAGTGTTTCCGCAACTTGGCTGCATCACGCACCAAAAGGCCTTGATCTAAATAACCTGCTCATGATGAAGCAAAAAATAACAAAAAGAAGAAAACGAGCAAGACGGAGAAGAAAAACAGAAAAACAACAACATATTAGCTATGGTATTACGTGAACAAATACAAATAAAAAGTTAACGGAAACTTAAATTCAATATTTGCTCTAAAAAGAAGAGACTGGAGAGGGAAAAAAATGGCATCACGAGAAGGAAATATTTCCTTTTGCTATTTGCTTTCAATGTGAATGGGATACTATGGGATTGTATTGAATGCGGAATGCGATTTTCATACTGTAGAAGGAAGGAAAAAAAGAGCAGAAAAAGTGGAAATTTTCATTGAATTGTGGAATTTTGTAACAGAGACGCGCATATTGCACGTCAACGCCATTGCAAACCCAATCGACAAGGTTGACGAAAAGTTTGCCATTTTCGCATGAAATTCCTGCCAAACGATGCGAACGACAATACACCGAGCTAAGACTTTCTAAGAAACACAACAAGAAAAACCACATCAAATACTACCAAAGATGGGGAGGGCGGTTTTTTGCATCAACTTCCGCATCAGATTGCAGAAAATTAATTGAAATCTGATGTTGTGGCAAGAGTGTATGTGTGCAGTACAGAGAGAGAGAGAGAGAGAGAGAGAGCGAACGAACCAAATGAAGATAAAGTAATCCCATTTCCAAGTTGAAAACTTTACTCAGCAAAACCATCAAGCGGATAGCACTTTCTTTGTCATTATCGTTCAAATAATTCCGTTGTCGCTTCAATTTGCTGAATATCCTCATTATGTCCGCTCAATCGACCGATTTGCGCACATGCTACAACAAATGGTACATAGGTTTTGTCAAGTCTGTGTTCGACAATTCATTGGAACATTTTTCGACTCCCTCCCGTTTTGAGAGCGATTTTTCATTTAAGGCAGGCGGTTAGTCAAAGGGCAGAAAATACGCAACCACCAAGTCAACACAGTCTACAATGATATTGGATTAATGTGTAATTAGAAGGCGCGATTTTTTTTTACAAAAAAGCGATGCATTAACATTCATTGATGTTTTGATTTGAATTCAGCAGAAATTTCGTGACACTCATTACATTGATACATTGTCTCATCGAAAGTTGAAATGCGAAAAATCCACACACAGTTGGGAGAGAGAAAGAGATAGACTGAAAGTAAAAAGAAACAATTTTACGTTTCATTAGTCCATTAGGATGGGGGCGAAGAACAAGAGCCCGAAAAAAACACGTCGAAAATAATTTGTTGATAATTTAATACGTGACTTCAATTTTTAATTAGTTGAACAGTCGTTGCAGCTTAGGAATGGTTTCCCTTTGAGTGCTACATTCTCCTCCTCGCTATGTGCGTGTTTATCGTGCGGCTCTTTTTTATTTTCGTTTTTCGTGTTCACCTTTGATATGTTCGTCGGTTGGATTATTTCAGATCGACTGAAAGATCCCACAAAAAGCCAAGTGCGATAGAGCACCATTCAAGATAATACGAAAACCATCGGCTACGCATCATCTTCATCTCACTTTCTTTCGCTTGCTCCATTTCGATAAAAACAAGCCTGCGAACAAGTCATCATATGACACAGTTGCTTGCTCAGCTAATCGATCGGCTCGTTGAATCTTCATTCAATGTGAACCAAGTCAAAGCTTGTCGTTTTCATTTTATTTCTTTTATTCTTACAACAAACTTTTGAACAGGCTTATCACGCATCGCCATACTTTTTCACTGAAGTTGAAACTTTGCACAAAAAAGATGGGTATTGATGGATCTGATACTTGACCAATAGAGAGAAGGGAAAAAAGAGAGTCGAAACCAATCAAATGAAACTCGGTGAAAGTATCGAAAATATTTTTGTTTTTATCCATTTCACAAAGATCCGAACGTGTCGACAATCAATCGCTTTCACACTAGGTGAGAAATTCGATTGAAAACCGAACAAAAAAAAGTGTCTGAAAACTGAAAATGAGAACGAAAGAAAAGAGAATTAACAGTATGGAATCAAAATGAAAAAGTAAAGAAAAAAAAGAAGTTGCTGGAATGCGTTTACTGCGTATATTTACACCGATGAAAGTGTTGCTCCTTTTCTCTCACTCCCTCACCCTGCTCCATTCTATCGAGCAAATAATATCGGATTTGAATTGGAATGGAAATCTGATTGAATCTACTATTGCTAGAAGCAATCTATGAAATAGCATCGATGCTCTCGTATGTGTGCTCTGTGCTCTCCTTTTCTCTTTTTTATTCAGTTTCTTTCTCTCTCTCTCTTTCTTTGTGTTTCACTCTAACTGACTCAATATCCCAAGCGTTGTGCGTCTTGCGTAAATGGCAATTCCGAGAAATGCTGTTTCAATGCACGAGAATTAAACGATAGTGAACAAAAGATAAACCTAGATATATAGATACACAGATAAAAAGAAAAGTAACAGCAGTCATCAAGGGGCTTTACAAGCACATTCTTTTTTCCCGTTTGTTCGTTCGTTCGTTCGCTTCCAACTCATAAAATTGAACGCAAGTTTGCGGTCGCGTAACACACGCTCTTTTTCTATCTCCTTTTCTCCAATTCTATCTGCAGCAGATTGAGCGTCTGTTGCGAAGCAGATGCAAACACCAAAGAAAGTGATAGCGTATTGCAGAGGAAGCCACTTGGCCTGAACACCATACAATTTTCGAGACTCCTTTACCCATTTTTCCGATACACTACCGAGAGCAACAAATGAAAGTGGAAATGTTCACACGGCCAACACATTTGATCTGGCGCGCAAGTAATAAAGTTTTTGGTTGTGTAATTTGTGCAGGTTCAGCTTCGGCAGAAACGTGCATGTGTATACACAATATGAAATAATAATATTATTTGGTTAAACCGCCTTCATTTTATTAGATGCTCTGGAGTGCGTTGTCTGAAAATGACCGAATGGTCCAATTAAATTCGGTTAGAATACCACTGCCACATCATTATAATGAAACCGAGATTCTCGTGCTGGATATCACTTAAAAACATCTAATTCAACGACTTGAACAGTGACTTTATGTCGACAAATGGAATCCAAATAACGTGTTCACCATCGTTGAGCGCCTGAGTTCGCGTGTCACCGTGTTAAAGAATAAAAGCGCTGAAAATGGTATTTTAACTATGTGCAAACTTTTTGCAGGGGATGCAATCAAAAACACACGTTTTACATTCAAATTTTCTCTCCCCGTGTTTCGGTGAGTGGCTATTTTTATATGTGGTATATGGCCTAGATATTGTTCATCTCATTAATTCTCGCATGATGGAACGTGTGCCGAAAGTGATTTGATGGAATGAATATACAACAACAGAAAACCACTACCAACAATGATGTCAAACAAGTAGCATTTTTTGCGCTCAAAGTATGAGCCATTGGCCGCCTGGGCCACCATCAATTTTTTATTGCTTTTCCTCGATTTGCCGGCCGCTCATACTTTTCACTCTTCACTTCAGCGTTGAGCGCGAGTATGAGTGTGTGTGTGTGTGTGTTTATTCCGTTCTCTTTTTGATTATGAAACGGAAGGTCAAAGTTCAACAAAATTGCCATTAATTTGTGGTTGCTGGTGTTGGCCCATGATCACGATTTGGCAAGATTTGATAATCGACCATTCAAAAATATTTGTCCCACCGAAAATACTCGTTTAATATATTATGGTATGCAACGACAACAATTTTCTTTCTTTTTTTCCCTTTGTCGCTATAAGTATCAGTAGCGTTTAAGAAAGATTTTTTTTCTTGGTTCGTACTTGTCATCTTTCGCATCATTGCGTCGAATTCCGTTGGATATGGGAGAGAGAGAGAGAGAGAGAGAGAGAGAGAGAGGGAGAGAACAAAATAAAAAGAAAAAAGGAAAAGGACAAAAGCCGCATATTCAACGAATAATAGGCACTTTCTTCGTCCACAAAAAAAACAGCCCGCATCCCAAGCGAACAAAGAAACGAAATATGATTTGGAAAATGAAAGAAAAGGAGGAAGAGGAAGAGGAAGAAACGGCCAGCAGAAAAGCGTCTGTCAATTTTTAGATAAACTTACCTTCATGACAATGCACTAATATATCGATCAAATAAATAGTATCACATATATAATCCAGAATGAACCACAGCGCTGGTACATTTCGATTGATTTCCCAAAAAACCGCACGTCCAACCACGAATACAATGTTATACAGCACAGCCAATGACACTAAAGCTAACCACTGTTCGTTCGTCGTCGTCGTCGTCGTCGTCGTCGCCGGGATATCCGTGCGATGCGATGAAAGATGTGGTGAAATGTGAACGCCAACGACAAAAAAAAAACGATAAGGGTATATTGGTTAGTGTGTGTTTCTTTTCTTTCTGTTCGATATATATCTACATATATTTTTGTGTCGACCGAAGGCCTGGAGATCTTTTACGATGCGCGCCACATGTATGCACACAACGTGAACCGTTGGCTCATGCTGTGTCACATCGACGGTTCGAAAGTGGAATGCCACTATATTTTTCTTACTTTCTCTCTTTTGGTTATTTTTGTTATTTTTTCTTGGCTGTTATCATTCATCTTCTTCCATTTCGATTGATATTCTATTTTTCATAAATTTTTCGTTCGATTTTTCTTCCTTTATTTTTGTTTGCCGCCTCATTGAGTGAATTAAATGGAATGTAGAGTGACGTAAAGTATATGAGTGACGAGCCAGACCATTATCGGGCATATCATTGCAATATATCAACAGCAGCAGCCGTGGCATCAGCATAGGTGACGGTGATAATACAAACGGCTCGTCATATCACTGAATCAGCAATGTATCGTACACGACATGGCGATAAAGGAAAAAAAATCGGAATGTAAATTCAAAAGGAAATTGCTCATTTCTATTTCATTCAACCATATAAAATATGCAATACACAACCAATCCGATACACACACGGGTTATTTTCGATGCGAATGTTCTATTTCATTTGAACCGGAAGAATCGACGAACTTGAACGTGCAAGTTCCATTTTTTTAGGGTTTTTCTTCGCTCATTTTTTTCCCCATGGAGTCTCTCTCTGAGAGAGAGAGAGAGAGAGAGAGAGAGAGAGTTTGTAAAACAACAACGGCAACGGAAGGGAAAAAAAGACGAAAATTGAAGGCGGAATAGAAAAAAGAGAAATTTGCAAGAAACGTGTGACACTCGACAATAAAGGAAGAATAGATCGAAAATTTCCATATTCAAATGAGACAAAGTGCTCGTGTGCGAGGAAGAAACAAGCATATGACAAGAGACAGGAAAGAATACACCGGATGTGAATGTGTGTGTGTGCCTGTGCATCGTTTCCGATAATCGATTCATGAGAGGCGAAAACGGAAGAAATGCGCTACTTATCACTTGTATTAGCATAATTTTGTTTGAATGCATATTTCATTCATTTGCTTGTGAATGGCTTATCCGATTTTTGTCACTTATTATGCCGCACATCAAATACACACGGGTGTGCGTACGTCTGTTGGTGACATGTTGCATGTGGGCATCTCCACGTCGAACAGAAAAATCACATATCAGCGAACAAAACAGAAAACAACAGTCATAAACTAAAATATGTTTTGCGTTTGCACATACCCGATAATGTGATGGCAGGGACGGATCAACCGACAGGTGACTGCATAATATATTTGCTGCTGATGCATCCGATGGTACATCCTCCGATGGTATACTCTTTGAACGCGAACGATGTGGATGTTTATCCAATAGCCAATCCGGCTTTTTCGTTCGGCTACGTTTCGTGAAGCAGTACCGGATCGCATTCAGCATTCGACGAAATGTACCCAATTTGGTCGACGAATTGGCTGTTGTTGCGCTTGAACCTGCTATTTCAGAAGGTGGCGGATCCTGCGAATATAAAAAAAAACAATATTTTATTTCAACTTCAAAATGACATTTTTTGATGTGGAACGAGCTTTTAATTTAAATTAAAAACATGATTTATTTGTCTAAGGTATCATCAAAGGAGGATAGCTCACAATGATTAAAGTTGAATTCCAGAGTTTTTCCAAGTCTCAACTATGAGACTCTCGGAGAATGAAACAATTTTCATACAAAATCAAAATATCTTACTCAAGTGATGCCTTCAAGTGAACTATTAACTACTTGAATAGTAAAATGTTTGTCAAATAATCTACTAAAAAGGTATGTGGTTTTGTGGTGCGAGCAATGCCGCCCTTTTGTTTAAAGCAAATTGCCCCATTGATTACGTCGTCTTGTTAATTTTCGAATTAGCTTGAATCGTCACAATCATTAGTTCTCTGGTGACGTAAATGCCAGCGACACACCGCACGCAAAATACTCCCTCTGTCTCTTTTTTGACGGCAAGAAGAGTAAACTCCAACCAAAAAAAAATGTGTATGTGTCTGTTTATATATCCAAAGCATTGAGAAATGGGTCCAATCTATCGAACGGTTTAGCAATGCAAACAACTTCAACCCTCGGCCAAATACCAACACATCCGACAATAAAAGCAAAATTACGCTAATTGCTATTCGACGATGGCGACTGTTTCTATTCGGACACCACAAAGTAGAGCTATGAGACGATTGCAAACAGTAGCAGCAGCAGCAGCAGCAGCAGCAGCTACAATAACAATAACAACCACATAGCCAGAGAGACATAACGCCCAACAGCGCTCGCTACCCGTATACGTGAAAATATTGTGGAATGACATTGTAAACACCGTATAACAACGATAACTCCGGACTAAATGTGTCGTTTGCTCGTCGAAGGTAAGAATATTGGGCGTATGCGAGTGTGTGTGTGTAATCGTAGAAAAAATGAAGACAAACGAAAGAAAACAGCAGCAATGAAAAAACGGGAAAAAAAATTGAAACGGAGAGAGGCAAAACGAAAAGCCTTGGTTCAACCGTCATAAAATCGTATAATTGAAACAATCTTGTTTGTTTAACGCAATTAATGTTAATGGAAATTTGTGAGAGGACGCGCGCGTGGAAAATTTCTTTTGCTTGGCATCCTAACCACTGTGTATAAAACATTCTCACACCAGATATTTTGTTCGGTCCTCAATTTTTTTTATTCCTTCTCTTGTTCGCTTCTCTTTCGTTCCACATTCACTCTCATCTTCTTCTCTCTTCTTGACATCTCTTTCGTTTGCTGCTTACAAAATGTAATTGGTGGCCATTCACGTTTTTTTTTTCTCACTCTCTCTAGGTGCTTCGGCTCTTGATTTACCGTCGTGATGAGGCATCTTTTTTTCCCCTATTTCTTACACTCTCGATGCATAACCGTCGTCTTGTGATCTCAAATGTGTGCCCTTTCAAAGTGCCCATTTATCGAGATCAATTTGTTCAAAAGAAGTCGAAAACAAAACGAAATGAAAATGTTAACTAAATGATGCGTATCCTTCAATTTTTTCTGTTTTTTTCCCCCTATGCTTTGATCAGCTCTCTTCAGAGGTGGTGGCTGTTGGTGCAGATAAGGTTAAAAAGTGATAATTCAAAAGAAGCACAAGATATGAAAAATGCCACAAAGTGTGCGGCTGGTGTGTATGTGATCTTGTCATTTTTGCTGTTGTGCGTCTTTGAAAATGGTTGTATAATTAGGTACACGGTGCTTTACACGAATAACTGCCACATTTTAATACGCAATTCTTTTCGATGGAGGCAAAAAAGGTGTACGCTCGCCGAGAAAATTCACCATCAAGCCGAAGATAGAAATGCGAAGAGTGAGAGTTGATGCTGGCAAATGCGATCGAAATACGGCGAGTTGATTGGCATTTCAAATTGAGTGTTCGACATGGCCAGTCGAATAACCGCCACCAAAAAATGCTTCATCACGAGCATTGTGTTCATGATAATGAGAATGGAAAAAGGAAAAATGTTGTAACAGAAAAAAAAATGCTCGTGCATCGTCAATAATAATCGATAGTGATACACCTTCTGTGGTTCATGTGCCAATTTTCTTCTTTCTCTACGAATCTTGAGTCGGTCAGGAACAGTGTGCATAAGAAAAGCAAGAATGAAAAGCACACGCCATTTTTACGCAACGACAAAAACATTACAGCCCCAAGCCGAAGTAGCAATGGATAAGCACCATTTGCAAAGATGTTAATTCATTGTTTCTTTTCAGCGCCTGCACCGGTGCGGTCTGTGTTTGTGAGTGTGCGTGTGCGTTATCGTCAATGACTGGGAATAAATAACTCTTGGCTACATGCAACCACAACATTTCATCCCAAGCACTTCGATTTTTCTGCGCAAAAAAAAAACAACATCACCACCAACAAAAACAAAAGCATAAAAAATAATCCGCTTTTTTCGTTCCATCAAAAACCAACCGCCCTTTTCAATCACATTTAAAACCCCAACGGGCTTTGTCTCAAATCATTTTATAATAATAATCTATTGAGAATTTGTGTGTGTGTGTGATGTTAAAAATAAATTTTTCGTTAGCCGCATGGCTATATAGCAGACCATGACGCACTAAAAATCAAGTAAAAGTCCAATATCTTGCCACACAGTCGTCAAACTTCGTTGGCTCAAACACACTCACATACACCGATTCACTGCAGAGAATAACCCTTATACCCAATGCACACACGCTGCCTTTTTTTCTCGTCTCTCAAATTGTTGAATGGATGTGATGATTCATTATAAAAAACCGAAGATTATGAAGAAATGCAAAGAAATCCTCGGCGCTGGATACCGTTCCATCAATTCAATCTTAATTTTTATGCATAAAATGTGTAAAAAAAATTGCAGCCTCAAGTAGCGTTACTCGCATATTTCAGCCCAAGTGTTCATTAGCAATGAGACTTTCGATTGTTCTTTTTCTTCTCGTTCAATATTTGGTAGACGATGCTTGCGTGCAAATTTCTTGGTGTGTTGAAATGAATGAAAAAAAAACCGCATACTCAGAGAGAAGGAAAGAGAGAAAACCTTGTCATTAGCAGACTCGATGTCGATTGACAATCGATTGATGTGACGATGCCCAATGAGTATAGATAATTTCGGTTGTGCTGTAATTATGATGCTCTGTATGATTCTCACATTCTCTTTGTGGAGCGCGCGTGCACTCGCGCGTTTGTCACCCAAAATTAGTTATTGCGAATATTACACATTCAGAATGAACGATGAGCGTTTGCATCATCTTGCGTGTGACATGATTTCAATGGGCGAGCCAAGTATTTATTTGTTTGCTATATTATTTTCGTTTTGTTCAATAACCAATGCAATGACGCGCTTATTTAATGACAATAAATAAGCGTATAGGATGAAAAAAGAAATCCCGCCACTGGGGAATATAAAATAGACTTCCTCTTGACCAGAGAAAAAAAACACAGTACCAATACATACACCGAGAAAGAGAGAAAGAGGCCGAAATAATGAGCGTGCGCGCGCGATACTTCATTTTGATGCAATCTGATGTTTTTGGGTTTTATTCTCTTTTGCCAGACATAATGCCAAACAATAATATCTTTTGTGCTTTGCAAGTAGTATATATGGATAGAAAATAAATCTCGAAACGACAAATCATGATACACATCTTTAATGAGCATTTTATTTATGGATACATAGATGCAGCCAACAAAAAACATAGAAATATTTACGATTTAAACTTGTTATTTGTGTTGTGTGTGTGTGTTGCTTTGGATGTGCAATGCATATTTGCCATGAATGTTAAGCATTATTCAAATTACCTTTAAAAATGTGTGTTATGTGCCAGCGGCAATACCAAATTAGCGCCAACATAAATAAATGTTGAAAATATTCGCCATCCGAATCGAAAGCCCGAAAATGGAAAATATGCTCGGGGAAGTAGGAATACAAAAGCTCAAACCATATTCGCAATGGTGCACCGCTTTTTTTACCGCCCTTCTCGCCTCTCGATCGGTATCTGTTTTTTATGGCTTTTGGTCACATTGCAACGTATATTTAAATGTATACAATGCAAAATCGACGAAAAATCTAATAGAACTGAAAATGAACTTTTCCATTTGTTGTGTGTGTGTGTATGCATTGAAATGGCGGAGTCAAAGTGAGATAAAACCACAAACAAGCTCAAAACAAATTACTGATGAATATTTGTATGTGTTCTGCTCTTTTCTCTCTCTCTCTCTCTCTCTCTTTCTCTCTCTCTCTCTGCATTTTCACTTTGAGCCTGAACTTGGTTTGTCAATTGATTTAGCACACACGCTCGTGCCGGTTCGACTTGATGTAATCCCTTGGCGCATTCCATTTATAGTCATTTTCAGCATGATAATTACTGTCACAGATCGACCACATGCATTGAACAATTCAACGGTGCGGTTTTCTAATTAAATGCCTTTGACATTGCGCTTTAAATCAACCTTTTTTCTCTTCTGTAAAATTCGAAATGTGCTTTTTTTCTCTTCACTCAACACAATGCATAAAAAATGGATGAATGAGTGTGTGGCCAAAGAGACATTAATTCACATGCTTGTCTGGGACATTATCAGCCACAAAGTATAATCGATCTACTCACACGGGCAACTTGATTATATGCAACTTTGTTTGTTCCCATGTTTGAATTTATATCTCGAAAAAAGAAAAAAAAAGTCGTGAAAACTTTTCAATTCATTAAAATTTCATCTAAATTATTGTACATCATCGTCAAAGTTGCGCGAATCGATCAAATTCATCGATAAAAATGTCTACATTCCAAATGAATACGATTCCCAGTTTGATTTTGAATTTTTTAGTAATCAAATGTGACACACTGCCTGTTTTTACTCAGCCACAAATTATTTTCTCGGAATTGGTTGTGAAGTTTGTAGGCATTTTGTTTGGTAATGTGTCATAAATTTATAATAGCATGTGGCAGAGAGAGAGAGAGAGATCACAACCATAGATACGATGTATACC